TTCAAAGATATCCTGGACTTCGCTGGGCTTGAGAAAAGGATGCCTCATGTTGGTTTTAATATTATGCGGCGTGGTTTATAGAAAAGAACACAATCCTGTACTTAAGCGAAGATGACAGCAGGTGCCGCGGTGTAAAATACTGCTGGTCATCTGGTCCCACTATGCTTAATCTATGATGTTATTTCACCAGAAGCAACATAGTTTTGTCCATATAAACAATTACGAACTCAGTGGTCGGATTTTGCGTACTCACCGCGTGCCTGGGTGGGGATAGGCAGTCTTAATTTGGACAGCAAATTATTTTTAACTAAACCTCGCTCACACCGCTGTCTTTAGCAGCATACGGAAGAAAGCATCTTGGAAGCTGTTCGCTCCACAGAAGGCTTTACACAACAGAGTTCGTATTTCTTCTCACTGCTCTGCTAGAGATAGTACTTGTCGGTTTGCATTTCACAAAATCATTTGTGGAAGCTGCTTTGTGGTCTGAGATCATTACTGACATATCACAAACAAAGCCAACATACTAAAACTCATGCGGCAGTTGGAGCTTATTCCCTCAACGAAACGTTACGCCAAAGCCCGTGTGCTCGATCCGACTCGAAAGCTGTGCGAAGCCCCAATGGGCCATCTCTGGATAACTGTGTCAAGTAAGCCGGTGCCGCGTAAACAATTCACCGAAAGCATTTATCAATATCAGCCAGCTGTTTTCACTCCACACACCATCATCACTTCAAATGATGAACTGTGATGGCAGAAGATAACCCAGCGCACATGAGAGCAGAATATCACCGAGAGCAGCTCCGTGTGTGTATGTGTTTCCATGCTCTGCAGCTCTCATCAGAATCGCCAGCTTGCAAGCGCGGAAAAGTCGATCATTAATGGTGTTCTACGTGGAACCGGAACTTGTGGTCAACAGATGATGCTCTGGTATCGTTTAAAGCACTCGAGGTGAACATGCAATGTCAACGGCACCGGTACATCTGTGCGAACCTCCGGTCGGGGATTCTTCCACACAAACTGTCCTGTGCAACTAACACAAATGTACAAGAGAAATAAATGAGTTTGCCAATCACCGGTGATTTCATATTTGTGTTTGGCCTCGATCTGCAAACAGGTAACACAACGAGCTCGGTCTGATTGTGGGACTGACAGATCTGAGAAAGAAATGCAACGGTCAAACTCCGGAAAAGATTTGAATACTCGTTTCATCCCTCCAGGTTTCGACATTGCGAGGCAGTCCGAAGCACGACGCAAGTCACAAACATATTGCTGCCTCCTTGAATTCAGTGTTGTAAAATGCTTACACCTACCTGCAACTCTGTTGTAATCTGGTTGCAGACTGATCTGTTTCAACGGTATTAGTGGAATATCTATCCCTGCTTAGACGCCACTTGCTAAGCAGGATGTTGTCAGCTACCATCGATCTTGTGTGCATACCGATCAGAGTGACGATGCAGACATTGCTGGTTCCGCTTCCTTTTGCGGAGCCACGGTCGATTTGTTACGCATCAAATGGCGTCCTGGGACAGCTTTGTATCACGAACTCTTGACTCATTTGTTTGATTTTTGGCGTATTTGAGTGCGTGGAATAACCGTAGTCTGATGATTGACCAATTAGCTTTTCGACGTACTTTACTATTTAAACACTTCATTCCATTAATTGAGAGTTTGTCGCAGCAGGTTCCAAATCAGATAGTTCTCCATATGCCCGGTAAAGCACTAGCTGCAATTTCAACTTTTTGGGCATCATCAGTAGTGCGCATCCATCTGGTCCACCTTAATGCGAACACATGGCCACCAGAGGCTTGAACAGCTAGCCACCAGCTTGTGCTACTAAGCCACCGGGGATAGGGTCGGACTATCATGAGATACAGGCATAAGCTGCTGGCTACCGGCTCAAGCATCTGGTGGTCATGGGTTCGAATTCAGGTGGATCAGATGGATGCGCACTACTGATGATGCCTAAAAGGTTGAAACTGCAGTCTAGTGCATCTCCGGGCATGTAGACGACTACTTGATTTGGAACCTGCTGCGACTAACTCTCAGTTAATTGCATGAAAATCCCCTACGTATGAGTACTTCGTTTCATTGTTATACTTGGATATCACGAGTCAGTCTGCCAACAGAAGCGGGTGAGTGGGTGTGAAGAAGTTATCGCCGTGATCTGGTACCTGTCTCATTTATTCTGACTCACAATAGTTACCATCATGGGAGCCAGTGTAATGTGGCGCCAAAAAGATAATTGTTGCTCGCATCGGCATGAACAGAATTAGGTAAAACAACTTAGGTGGCGAGATTGAATCGAATCACTAAATAATCATGGTACTGAGTAGACAATACGAAATGCATGTATCTACCAGTCTTTGGCTTCTTTCCGCGCTTTTCACTAAATAATACTTAGGGTATCACGGGTACCCCGCAGGAATCATCGGCTCCAGATAGTCTGGGGGATCAGAGTACTAAGACTGGCTTGTAAATACAGTTCGGTCATAAGGGTAGATGTGTGCGAATGATTGCAAACCAATAGGTGCAATCACTTCCTTGTGAGACGTAATGTCTCATCAACGACCACCTGAGCTTTCACTAATGATCTAGGACTGCCGGTACTACTCTTCGTATCTGCGCATCGGGACATTTCATTACCAACATGAAAAGGGCACTTGCAGGAGACCTCTGTTTCTAACGCCTGACCAAAACACCGCTCCACTCCTCATCTAGGTCCAACTTATTCCAAAGGGATAATGCTGGCGCAAAGGGGAATAAAGCCAAGTACTTCCTCGAAGGAAACGGTTACGCACTGGAACTCGGTCTACCCAAACAGGTAAGCGACCTCCTATAGCTAATTATGAGGAGATTAAAACCTTACTGGTCTTGTCTCTAAAACAGTGATGACTCTCTATTCATTAACGATGGATCGCTAGTCCAAACGCTTCCGCTTCGCTCTGAAACACGAACCTGATCTCCATCATGCCATGAAAAATCCCTCTGAAGTCCTTGATGACGCATTTTATCTGCCACCCCTATGTTTGCTTTTAGAGGCCCCTAGTCTCCTAGCGACTACCACCATGAAATCGTTTAAAATGCCCGTCACTCAAGGAGAGTGTTCCACCAGCCTGTATTTCAAATGGACACAAAGAAGATCCTTGCATGAAATTCTTAGTGTGAAAACATATTTACTTGACAATTTGAATCTGGACAACAGTTTATTGCGTTAATGTTTCTCCGAATTATCGAGATCATCATATATTTGTTTTAATGAACGATTTTTGCAATTTTGTATGTAGGGGTTAAATTGCTGTTTTCTGCCGTAATTACTAACTGTTCTCTGTAGGACCGTTGCACATATAATTATTAAGTGGTTTGCAGCCACATACACCCAAATATTTCACTTTGACAGCCGTTGATTCATCAGAAACCTCCGCTTTTACCACTTTTACCCATTGCCACGGAGCACTTATTCGGGTCCAAACAATAAATGGTGTTTTCCTAGTTAACTGCAAACTGAGTCCATTTAAAGATGGAAATTGCATAAAATAACATAAATAACAGCTTGTTGCAATAAAAGAAGCATTAGGCGCTTATCTACAAAGGGAATATTACTATCGTCCACCAACTAGGTTAGCTGAATTTTCGCGCTACAGACTGGTGGAACGCTACTGTAACTCAAGCCGACCCACCTCGCCCCACCAACTCAGTTACCCACCGCACCTTCTCCGTCTGGTGAAAATAACTCAACTATTCCCCTGTGGGCAAGTGCACACTGCTTCGCACTCCTACCAGGTAACGTTATTGTCGTCACCCATATGACGCCGTGGGCCAAACCCTAATTCGCAATCCTATATGGCGGTACGAGGGTGGACGCAATGAGCCCTTGTTTATGCTTCATGCTGCCAGCTAACCTCCTTCTACCCACGTACTTGTCATGTGGCATGCAGGACACGGGCGTATTGAACGTCGATCAGACGAATAATACGCTGTCCGTAAGACAGTGACCAAATCTGATGGAGTGGCGCGTAACCTCCGCAGCTTTACCAGTAAACAATAAACATTTGCTAAACCGCAACGATTCCAGATGAAAATATTCTCATAACCAGTTTACCCATGCGTTAACTAATTCACTGACAGAAGCAGCTTGTAAACATTTTGAAGTGGAAATGCTGTCTGGTGAAGCCAACGGCTTGGTATTCAACTGTACGAGGTCAGAAACCACGTTAATCGCTCGTTAAATGCCCTAACATTTGCGACACCACTTTATCGCCACTGGCATGAGCAATTGTGGGATTTTAATGCTGTTTCAAGTCGCTACTTGGTTCATTTGTAAGTGGATATACAACCACCTTAAGTAACTCACAGGTCTTTTAGTTATCTATGCATAATTTGCTGACGGTTTAACAGCGAAAGACAGGTTTCCTGCAGCAATGTGTAAAGGAGTTTTCGACTCAAAACGAGCTTTACAGTCGCTCCTACGAAGTACCCATTATGCCGGTCTTAATGCTCAAACGGAACAGCATTTTCACCTAATTGCGAAAGTGCTCCCATTAATTGTCCAGTGCACATTCTCGTTGCGAACAAGCTCTTATGGCCGGGTGTTGCCCATCACCATGATGTCACGCGCGAATCACCATCGCTCGTACAAGCCTGGATGTCCTCGTCTGTCCTCAGCGGGTCATATAACTGAACAACCGATTGCTGGATGGTGAGTGAATACACGTTCGAGAAGCGGTAGTCAGTCTGGTCGCGATCGGGAGTGGGTGGGTGGAGAATAACGTGCACGAACTGTTAGGCCCGACGGGGCATGTGCCCAGGTGATTTCTATCAGCCAATCCATAGGAGTCGCGTGGAATTTATTTACCAGACACGACCGTTACACTTGCTTCATTGGACGAGGGGTTGAATATTATTCATCGTCTTTTAGCCAATCAGTAACAGGAGGAAAGTTGTGAATTGTTAAATAAAAATTCTCGTTTCGCTGTGCTCCCACTGAATTGTGACGCACTCCGATGGAGGTCGCGTGTCCGGCACGGCGCTTGTTCAGCTCTAGTCAATACCGCCACTATGCCCTGGATGATTTTTACCAGCCAACGGATCCTGCCATAGAGGTGGAACGAAGGTGCAGACTCGAGGTGGAAAGATTTCGCATTTTGTACAATTTTGACTTGGAAACGATGCAACCTTCACAACCTACTGAAGACAAGAGGGGGCCTGGCGATAAGTCCAGCGAGAATGGGCGAGTACTATGGAAATGGGAGACACTGAATTCTACTGCTGGTCACGTGCCTTTGTTTTATCGCAGCCAAACGATAAAAGTTCGCAGAACGCGGCGCGAGTCCGAAATCCAGAGAATCGAGCACCGGTCCGAGTCGCCTAAGAAGATATACACGACTGTTAGGCGTGATAGCAAATCCAGCACTGTACCTCAAGGCAAGCAACTATCTGGCGCCCATCTGCACGTGAACAACATACCGGAAATGACATGTGGGAAAGCGGAATTTCCAACTCTCTTCATCCTATGGCTTCCTCGAATACGGAGGTGTTCCAATCCCGAGACAGAACCCAAACGTGCAGTACTGAAATTTGAGGCCCCCCGAATCCAAAGCTTTGACAAGTTCTTTACTGGCAGTGGAGCGCAGTTTGTGCGGTCGAAAAGTTGCGAACAGCGGGTTGATAAGAGATCCAGTATTAGACGGGCTACCGAAAGTTGCAGTCGTACTTCCGACAGACAAGACATCGAGGATCACTTTTTTTGGAGAGGGAAATCTTGGATTGCGGAAAGACGAAGGTGCAATGCTTTGCATTCTTCTTCGGTAGATGTAACTCAGAGGAGTGAAGTGAGTTCATTAATTCCCCATTTGTAGATGGTGTTACGGATCCGCGCAGCGCGGATGCATAAAATTTAAATGGAACCGCTGCTTCCATGGCTTTATGTATGGCGACACTAAGTATGCTGAGGCTTTCACAGCCTCACAACGGCCTGTCCGCAACCCCCAATCTCTCCGCGTAAATCAGATAGGTCTATCTCTGTTACGCATGTGCTGCGAGTCGAGATGCTAAACGATTTGTGTCCATTTATCTACAATTCGTGAGCCGACATTAGATGATGATACATTCACCCCATTTCAGTAGCACGTTCCTACGTCTATAGCTTTGCGAGTTTTGGCTGCTGTGCGAAAATATTCAATGGGAAAGCCAGTTAGTTGAGCGGGGGCCAAAGCTGTAAGGACCTAACAAATTAACCTTATAAATACACACTTAATGTTTAGTAATGCTATTGCCGTTGTTTTGGTTTCTTCCCATTGCTGTGTTTTTAGCACTATTTTTATCATTCTTAGATACGACTTTCAGTTTTGACAACAAATTGGAAGTTCCACCAAAGCCGTCATCTGCCGTAATTTCTCTCAACACGCAGCGAAACACAAATTTGTAGCCTGTCACATCTCGGCGTAAGTGCAGAACAAGCTCTGGGCCGCATCACCGTTCCGGTCTTGTATGCGATCTTCAAGTGAACAATGCAAGTCTCAAGCTCTAAATGTAGACCATAAATGATCCCATGGATTCATCAATTGATGGGCTAATAGAAGCTGTCGGTAGCGTCTGCGAGAGCTGCAGCATGCCAGGCTGTGCATGACATTTGTCGTTCTCAATCACCGAGAACAGTTCATTGGTTTTCTCAAAAGGGAACGTACCCAAACTCAGAGTTCCTTGCAAGCCAGTCCCAAACGGTGGTTTACCTGTAACTGCAAACAATAAGCTGGTTACAGATGGACGGTGGATATGGCTCGTCCGAAAGCGCTGTGCTCCACAAAGTCGAAATCGGTGCTGCAATGCAGCGTTGTCGAGCAGGCAAGACCCAATAGCCATATGCTTCATCAGTCAGGGTCCCTGTGACCGAATTAATTATGGTTCACACAGCAAGTGCACCATAATGACCATATAATAGGATGTTTGATTTCTTTTCGCGCTACTGACATTCACACTCCGTTCTTTGATTCACGTACTTTTGTTGTTTCATCTGCTTTCAGCTACCCTCCTTGGGGAACCGAACGGCCCCACTCAAGTGTGACCTACCGTGTTCCCACTGATCACCTTCACATTGCGTCGCCGATAGCAAGCCGAGCTGTGATCCACCATCCAACAACCTGGATTTTGATGTGTGCACAACGGAAGCGACTGAGAAGGGAGCTGGTTTTGAAAAAAGGCATTGCAATTCTATGAAAACAACGATACTGTTAGTAACCTACTACCATCCACTGATTCAGTAACCCAGGCAATTTTACTTGGTCCACTATAAAGCCACTTGTGTTGTGCGACATTATGTCAAAAGCAGCGTGCTGATGAGTTTATACGAGCATGCAACTAGCCTTCAATTGGTTTTACACGTTGATGAGTTTATCTCCGGTCACTGTGAAATGAAATGGAATCAAAAACTTACGTTTCCACTGAGTTTTGAACAACCTTAAAAAATAGCCAGTATCATGGTTATCATTTTATGTGGTATCGAAGCCTCAGAGCATGAGTTCAAAGCGGTTTAACGTCCTTCCTACACAGCCATCTTATGAGAACTCTTGGCGTGGTGTTCATAGCAAGAGGTCACCATAGTCCAACCTGGACAGCGGCAGTGAATTGAAAGATCTCCCCTTTTTATTATCATCAAAGGCAGTTCATTTCGTGAGCTCTTCGTCAGGAGAATTGGTAGACAGAGAAGCTAACACAGAGAAGAAAATTGGTTTCACATCCACTTCGCTCCAATTCCTCCAACAGGACACCTGTGCACCAGACCAATTTTTTCTGTCTATGGCTACCTAACTCCGGTGTGTACGGAGTACAGGATTTTTGGTTGCTTTCCTTGTCCGTGATCAAATGTGTATGACAATGATTCTTTGGAAATATTTGGGTGTTGCACTTCTCAACACTGGCACAACACGACCGCGATTTCATCCTGGTTTGGACTCATCAGGTGGAGATAGCCTGAGCGGGGGTGGAACTCAGAGCCTAGTAGTTCACGGCTGCCACCCTGAACACTACGCTACTGAGATCCGCGAGCAACGCTTGATGCAGCGGAAAGGAATTCAACGTTGAATTTCTTTGTTTCTTTGTTTAACGGAAAAAATTTAAAAATGCAAGTGCATTATAGAATGTCAAAAGTCCCTGAAGTTTGCTGATTGCTTTTTCTACTGCCTGCGTGCTAGAAAATCGCGCACCTTTGGGTTGAAAAGTTGGAGCACTCCTGTTGTAACCGGTAAGAAGAGGAACTTGTCGAGTAGCCTCAATGAGCTTGGTGTTGCACGTTTTCTTCTCCACATCAAGCAAGTTTGATAACTACAGTACTAATATAAACCGAAACTACTACGCAGGTAACTTCAATCATGAGTTCCGGAACGAAAGGACACTTCCTATCGTGCTCAACAAGATCACGAGTAGGTACTTCTAATCGTTAAACCCGACATCCGAGGTCCAGTTTGATCGGTCATTTTGGGACGCTACGGTTATCCGATTCTGCGTTGCGAAGCAATTTTGCTGTTCCATTCTCAGCTTGACCAAACGACAGTTAGGCTGATTACCTCACCTGCTGCTTTGTTGATGAAGAGCGGAGGGGATCCACTGTATCAGCATCTATGAATACAGCGAGTAACTCTTGGAAAATGTCTGAAACAGTCCCCCTGTGAACATATTCAAATAAAGTGTAGTAATGGGGATAAGTTGTGCAAAGGAATTTCAGTAGAACTGAGTTCATCCAGTCAACCGTCAAGTTAGGCGTATTCCCTCCTCTTGGTGTTAGATCAGAATCAGGACACCACTCAGGTGGAATAGAAACTGAAGTTTCGGAGCCAAAGTAACCACTGACGACTGAAGTGTAGGCGTAAGTAGTTGGAGCGTGCACGGCCGAGAAAACACAGTAGACGCTTGCTCGTAGTTCTTCTTTAGCGGCCCATCTATTGGTTATAGGGAATGCGATTACTGCTCATTGCTCAACAAAGCGGTGTTCATTAGTAACTCGACCGGACAGTGACGACTAATAAATAGCTGGTTATCATGAGGCTATCCGCTCTATTTCGTAAAAAGTAGCATTTCCGTTCCTGTGCCGGTGCTTCTCTGCTATGTATCTGTGGAAAGCCATGCACTGACTGGGTGCCCAAACTTCGGCAAGATCGGGGACTTGAATCCTGGGGGTAGGCGCTGTGCGAATTCCCACATGGTGAGTGGCATCCGGTTCTGGATTTGCCTGTCAATGTGGCCTCCATAGGACAGCCACAGGACGCATGCGCCTACAGAGGGACGATGGGGAGCTTGCGCTGCATCACCCCCAATTCCACTCACACACCCCATATCCAGTGTAAACCCGAAGGAATAAGACCGGGAGCCACGTTTCATCACCGGAGCCGGCCCACACTCCTTCACAGAAGAATACAAACATGCTGCATTTGGGAAATCAATCGTACTCATGGCGGTGGTTAGGCCGTAGCCCGATCCACACACAAAACATGTGCATAGAACCACCCTTCGAGCCTAGCACGGCCACAAGGAGCGTGCACCCCGTCCCCTCCAGCAACGACCAACTGTATCCTGGAGCCAGTGTGGCTGCGCTTGATGTGCATGTTAACAAAGTGCCTACCTGTCTATTACCGACTAGTTCGACTTCCTACATAATGGCTACTACTAGTACTACTGCCACTACGGCGTTTGGGATTCAAGTTGCAGCTGGCTTAGTGATATAACGTTGACGTGTGCTCATCACAACCGTGGATTCAACACGCTAGTAGGCTGGTCAACATCATCACTTTCAAAGGGATTAACTTCTAGCTGTGTTTGCTGCGCTGGAGCCACAGCTTACGGAACTCCCACCTGGATGACGAACACAGGGGCAGACATAAGATTTCACTATGCGCTCAAATAGGGCATAAGGAACGCATTCACTCTGAAGCATCGTTCATGCTGAGAGGATCTAGCTTCATGGTTGATAACAGCGCTAGGCACGCCTGAGAACGTGGAACCAATGAAGCGATGTGAGCCGGCTACTTGTTTGCCTGGTAGCTCTTTCGAGCAATTTGGTTGTGTGGAAGCCAAGTATGTAGCTAGCACCAAATTCCATTGTGACCACGGCTGATTGGTATCTCAAGGTTGCGCAAAGAACGTGAGAAACGGACTGTTCCTCTTATAACGGACATGTTCGAATGGAGAGAATCCTATCATTTTCACAACTTTAGCTTAGAAAAGGCGCAGATCGTGTGCCTTACCGAAAAGAAACCGAACCTGTCGGGCACATGGTGCAGCATGGGGGACTGAAAGACATGTTCTCATTAAGCCAAATTTTATTGTCTGGTGGTGTTGTCCGTACTTCGGTCATGTCAGTAAAACGTGTAAAAGTGATGGTGAGCAAACGAGGTGGCCAGCTAAAACTTGCATTCTCAGGGTGTGAGACCATAAGGGCTTCCTACGGTTGGGACTTGAGTGCCGGAATTCAAGCCACCGGGCTAAAAATGTGTATTCATGCATCGGATACAAACGGTTCAACGTGTGAAAAGCAATACGCTTATGCCATTCAATGCAGAGTTGTATGCGCTTTCGTATTTACAGTACTCCGAAGGACCATACGGTGTGTGTAATGCGAAAAAGGCGACAGGAACGAGTGTTTCCGGAACACAAAAGCACACGTCTGATACCAGAATAGAATGGTTCCGAAACAAACCACACAAATAATTGTGAGAAATTGCGCAGTTACCAATCTGAACAACTCATTTTCTCGCGCCTTCTTTGTGCACTATAAATGATGCCTCTGCTTTTCTTCACAAGTTGCAAGATTCAATCGGATTCAGTAGCACCATCTTTGCTTTGGTTTCCGGACACAGCATGTTCTTCGGTTTAAGCTTGTATTAACTTTTACACTATACCGTTGCCAGTGTTTGTTAGTAGGTTCAAGATCGCAGAAACACACACATCGACGGAATCTCTGTGGCGTGGTAGATATTCTGGTCATGTAATCCACCATCCAGATAGTACTACATCCTACACTTCCCTGTTCCTTGCCTATCGAGATGAGCTATGTTCTGTAGAGAGTAGGCCGTGCCGTCTGAAGAATTAGCGGAAGAACACAACGCGCCTGATTGGGCGTTGCGCGGTATTTCACACGCGTAATCCGATTGGCTTATCTGTCATTTCCAAACGTATCAGGTGGGACACAGCGTACTAAGCTCCTCTGTTCTAACGCCCGTCTAGGTGACACCGAATAGTATTAGTATTAGTTCTATGCCACCCAACTTGCTTTACAAGGGATGAAGATGTAAGTGGGACATTCATGGATTGATATACTGTGCATTAGCAATGAGGGAAGGATATGTTTCTAACTTTTCTAATGAGTGGAGGATTTTTGAAGCACTTATGTGAGGGTTCTTCGCAGTGGTTAGAAAACTTTCCACATACTCGTAAAATCATTGGATAGCCGTTGCTACTTGTATGGTTCCGTCAGTATTGCGTATCCATCGGCTCCATCAGGATCCGAACCCAGGAGTAACGATGGCTTGAACCACCAACCAGCAGTTTGTGCAACGAGATCATGAATGACGGGTACAAATCGTTATGGGTTACCACCGAACTGCCAAGAGGCCCAACTCATCCACCGG